TCTTCAGGAAAAAAAGCATTCTCTTACATAATCATATTATGAAAATCAAGAATTCATATTTATTTCATATTCTTATTAAATCTATAAGTCTTATCCAAAAAGAAAAATATTTGCCTAGGTCTAGGTGTCAATCCAGGCTCATTTGTCCAGAGTCTGCACTCTTAATGTCTAATCTGTGCAGCCTTCCCTTGACTGGTCACCATTGCTAGTACTACTAGAATCATTGTTTTCAGCCAAGCATTTTTTATATTCCATTTTTCTTTTGAAATCTTTTGTTGCCATTTCCATCAGCTTCTAAGATTTAACAATTTTATAGTTCCTCTTTTCTCTCTTCTTCAGAGAATATTTTCTCCAATTAAGAATACACACTTTACTTTTTCTGTTACCTCCTCCCAATTCATTTTACAACTATGCCATCAGTGAAATCTCATGGAATTACCAGTTTTTAAATCAGAAATGTTATTCTTTCTGCCAAATTTCCTTCCATTTCTTAATGAAAATATACTTCCAAAAAACATAATCTTGACTTACAACTAAGAAACCCGGATTTCTTTGGTATTTACCTTTAAATATATTATTTTTAAACTGTGGTTCCTCATCTGGGGCCCATTCAAAGGGTTCAGGAGATCTATTAACCCTTGAAATTATATGCAAGATAGGCTGGGCGCGTTGGCTCACGCCTGAAATACCAGCATTTTGGGAGGCTGAGGCGAGTGGATTGCTTGAGGTCAGGAGTTCAAGACCAGCCTGGCCAACATGGTGAAAACCTGTCTCTACTAAAAAATACAAAAATTAGCCAGGTGTGCTGGCATATGCCTGTAATCCCAGCTACTTGGGAGGCTGAGGCAGGAGAATTGCTTAAATCCATGAGGCAGAGGTTACAGTGAGCCAAGATCATGCCATTGCACTCCAGTCTGGGTAACAGAGGCAGACTCCATCTTAGGAAAAAAAAAAAGAAAGAAAGAAAGAAAGAAAAGAAATTATATGCAAGATATGTGTATCTGGATGTATTTCTGGGGAGAGGATCCATAATTTTCATTAGGATTTCAAATCGTTGGATAACGTGGAATAATTTTAAGAGTTACTCTCTTAGTGTGTTTACTTTAGAGGAGAGAGATTGTATCCTGAAGTATTATTTTTTGTGTCTTATGAAATCCTAGTGGATTACAAAACAATTGGTCCTCACAAATTCTAATTAAGTGCACATATTGAGAATTTATATTGCTCACCAATTTGATGTGTGCATGCACACGTTAGTGTATATATGTTCTAATTTAAACATACTGTTGTGCGTGTTTTAGCTATCAGTCTGCTTCAGTTCCTTTTTTGTTGACATTGGAGACAGAGTCTTGCTCTGTCACCAGGCTGGAGTGCAGTGGCACGATCTTGGCTGACAGCAACCTTTGCCTCCTGGGCTCAAGTGATTCTTGTGCCTCAGCCTCAGGCTTCCAAGTAGCTGAGACTACAGTTTTTCGCAAACATACCCGGCTAATTTATGTAATTTTAGTAGAGATGGGGTTTCACCATGTTGGCCACGAGGCCTACAACTCTTTGCCTCAAGTGATCGCCCACCTTGGCCTCCTAAAATGTTGGGATTATAGGCATGAGCCACTGAGCCCAGCCTGCTCCAATTCCTTAATAAGCAGGCATATTTCCTTCCTGGTGGACCTCCAGCCACACTCTTACTACTGGGCAGTGAAATCAGATTGTACACTAGTGGCAGGAGTATTTATAGGCCTTGGAACAGAAATTGGTAACTATGTTACAAATGTTTAGCAAGCCACATTTCATGACCTGCTTTGCAAGAAAAAATTGAAAGCGTGAACAGCTGTTGGTGCGTTGCATTTGCATTTCTGAAATTTCAAATGAAGATAAAACATTAACAGCTGGGACAGATAGATTCCTGCAGTTGACCTAGTGCCTCAGGGTGTACAGTACATTGATGTTGTCAGGCTGTCGGGGTCCTGGTGAGAACTGTAGAGAGAGGGAGAATCTGAGAGGGAAAACATGTTTGTTATTCTTTTAAGTATTTTTTTTTTTTAATTAAATTTAGATAGTCCTACTGGAATCTAGCAATCCTCTATTGTCACTAAAAGAGTTTTTGATTTTGGTATTCCAGTGGCTGATTGTCCTTAGACCATGCATGTCTTAAAAATAATAAAGTAGTTAACTTCCTCATGGATTGCTCATCTTTTTATTTTGTATTTTCTGAGTTATATGTCTTTAAGAGATTTCAATTCTGCTTCTAAATGTGTTTGCATTTTCTACTCCGTCTTCATGTTAGGCACTGTTGAGTACTCTTTTACGAAATGCAAAGACTTGAAGGCAGAATTAAACTTTGTTGATGAAATGACTTTAAGTAAGCCCACCTCTGATGATATCTGTGAATAAATTGTATTTTTTTTCTCTCCTAGCAGTTATGAAGTAAACTGTCAAAGAATGTAGCATTGTTTGACTTCTAGGCCCACTGAAGCTCAACTCAAGAGTGTTTTGGCGAGGGTCCAGATGAAACAGGATTAAAAGTGTGAAGAGTAGACTTGAAGGTGTTGGATGTCTGAAGCTGTAGAGGAAATAGTTGGGGAGGAAGAGGAAAGGATCAGTCTTTACTGTTTTGAGCAGATATTTCTTCTAAGTTTGCTGATACTTATTATCCCTTTTTCCTTTTTTTTTTTAAATATAAAAATAGAGACGGTATTTCACCATGTTGCCCAGGGTGGTCTTAAACTCCTGGGCTCAAGGGATCCGCCTGCCTTGGCCTCCTGAAGTGCTGAGATTACAGATGTAAGCCATTGTGCTCCCCGATACTTCTCTTTACTGACCTACACTCAATACCCCCATCTCTGAACAACTATAGGAAGGAAGTTCTAGGGCTTATGCTATGCCAGGTGAGACTCAAATTAAAAATTTGGGTTGTATGGCTGAATCTTATATTCTATGAAAAAGGACTAAAGACATTCTGCTACTAAGATTTAGTGGAATTTATTTATGATGAGAATGATAGTCATTTGTGTTTTTCTTCTTTCTGGTTTGTTTGGGTCCAAAGCATCACTCTCATGTATTTCTCATAAAGTGGATTAGCCCAGAACTTTTTTGTTCTGGGGGTTTTCAGTAGAATTCCTTTCTTGTTTGAAAGTCAAAACAGTTATGTAGTCAGTGGTAGTATCTTTTACAAGTTGCCTAGGAGGTATAAAGATCTTGTGATATGAGTCACTTCACAGGAATATAGTTGACATCTGATTAGGTAGGAATGATTTTTCTTGCCTTCTTTGGTTAGAGTTACTGCCTCTGTATAAGAAATGGTGTTCATTGGTTTCCCCTCCACTTTCAACCACTAGACTCGTTAATCTTATTGAAGATTTCAAATTTTATATGTGGTCTGTGCAGGTAGCCAGATGCCATATGCTGTTAATTTCTGATTTTGTGAAGGCTAGATCATACAGCTGGAAATGATTGAAAAGAAAAGCATGTTCTTTTGTTTAACAAGACAAAGCCTATTGTGTACTCTGCTTCTGATGCTTAAAAGATGTATTTTTTTTTTTTTAACTGCATAGTATGTGGGGCTAAAAGTTTTGAACTCTTCACTTTAGAAATTACTTTTCCAGACAAAAGAGCAAAACAATGTTTGTTTAAATTGTTCTCTGGAACATGACTGATAGTGTTTACAACATTTCTATGACATTTTGATCCTGTGGGGAGTACTTGGAGAGGTATTTAAAGTGCTTTTCACTAAATCAGATGCTTTGTAGTGTTCGAACCTTTTTAAAAAATCATTTGAAAGGCTGAAGTTTTGAGTTGAGAGACAGAAAATAGCCAGGGCATTCTCTAAAGACTAAGAATGGCTTATCATAAGTAAAACTGATTTTTTTCCCACCTCAAAAATTGAAATTCTACTTTTTTTTTTTTTTAACTAGAATGAAATGTACACATATTGGTTCAGAGCCCCGTCTGTTCATGCCATATCCCTTAATAAGGGCTGTTTTCTGGAGTCTATCTTCTATTCAATGAGAACATTTTTGGAAAAGGTTACTGAAGGGGTGTCTGTATGTTTAGCTTTAAAAAAAATTCTACTACAGTGGGAGTATAGCTTGATTCAAGTGCCAGGGATGTATTAATAGAACATAGAGGAAAGCACCATGCAAGTTTACTGAGCTGAAGATCGCGGATAAATAGAAAACTTTGTGTTTCTACATTGTTTTTTCTCCGCCCTTTAAAAAAAAACTTTTTTGAGACATGATCACACTTTGTTACTCCGGCTAGAGTGCAGTGGTGTGATTTTGGCTCACTACAGCCTCAACCTCCCAGGCTCGAGTGATCCTCCCCATTTAGCCTCTTGAGTAGCTAAAACTACAGGCACATGCCACTGTGCCTGGTTAATTTTTGTATTTTTTGTAGAGACAGGATTTTGCCGTGTTTCCCAGGCTGATCTCAAACTCCTGCACTCAAGTGATTTGCCCTGCCTCGGCCTCCCAAAGTGCTGGGATTACAGGCATGTACCACAGTGTCTGGCCTGTGTTTTCTAATCCTGATGTTCGACATCCGAGTTTAAGGCATTTAACTGCTTGAAACTGCCTTAGGGGATCTTATGAGCTGTGAAGAGGTGGATTGTTCAGAAGATTCTGTTTAATGCTATCAGACTAATAGAATATTTAAATGCTCTCTTTATATTAGGAGAGATCTTGTAATTTTTCGATCAACTATGGCAATTTTGTCTTACAGAATTCTAAACATAAAAGCCAGTACAGTGTTAGAAAAATCAGTTAGTTTATGTTCCTTGATCATATAACATTTATCAATAAACCCTCCTCTGGATTGTACTATTTTGGGTGTATACCTATACAAATCATAGTGGAGCAGGATATTTTATTAGTGCTTGTTTGGAGTGGTATATAAAGAAACACATCAACCTGATTTTGTAGAGGGTTTATGCATCAGAGTTTGGTATTAGCCCAAAAATATGAAAAGTAATATATTTAGGAAGCATTTAAACATCATTGTTACACTGCATTACACAACTTAGTTACATTGACACTGTCTATTCTTTGGGTCTTTGTAATTTAAACAGATAAATAATGTTGTTTTTCAGTCAGTGGTAGTGAAAGGTATGTGATTTATCAGGTATATGATTTGTTACCATTCAATAGACATAAATGAGTCTAGTAAATGAGAATATATAGAAATGCATATTATGTTAATGTTTGTGGACCTAAATGTGAAAAGTGAAGGACACCGAGTGTTCAGTTAGCACTGGTTCCAAGACTGTTAATTAACAAAATACTTTCTGTAAGTAAGAAGATGGGGAATCTGATAATCTGTAGAAGGTGGGACCCTCTTAATCTTAGAGCAAGACTTGAGAGAAATCTCAGAAGGGTGGTGTCCTTGAAATGAGATTGGGAGTATGCTTGATTGGTGGAAATTGAAAGGACCAAACTGGGGATATGAGAAGTGAGATAGCTGAAACTTCCCGGTGAAACTCACTGATTTAAAGATATTATAGATTTTCATAAAATCAAAATGGTGACAGAAACCTTTGAAGTCATAGAATCCATCCTTTCTGCAAAAGCAAATATCCTTCTTCAGTGTTATTTCTAAATGAAGGGAAGTTTTAAATATTAAAAAAAAACTCAAAACTCGTTTGGTTGGTAGATAAATATTTCAGTATCTGCCATTTTTCAAACACTGTACTATTAATGTGATAGATACAAGTGTGAAGAGAATATTCTTTCTACTATGGGTCTTACTGTCCAACTGAGGGCTGATGGTGGTAAAAGACTAGTCCTAAGATTAAAAACTAAATACATGTTTATAATTATGATAAGAATTATTTTCTTTACAGTGATAGAAACCTATCTTAAATTAGCTTAGTCAAATTAAAAAAAAAAAAGGGAGAAAAGGAGTTTACTGGCACACATAATTGAAAGTTCCAGGAATGGATTTGCCTTTAAACACACATGGGTCTAGTGTGCTAAATAATCTACTTTTCTTTGTGAAGACTTTACTGTTGAGGAAACTTTGACAATAAAGGGTGATAAGATGGCCTTCAGCAACTCTGGGCTTACACAATGTTAAACATTAACCATATACTTCACTAGATAACTTCACCAAAAGCCCAGAATATAACTCAGCTTGAATCATATGCTCAATCTTAAACAAGACCTGAGGAATGGGGTACTCTGGCTAGGCAGAGTTGTAGACATCCCTGTGTTGGGAAAGACTGGGCAGGTTATTAACAATCATATGCTTTCATTCAGTAAATTCCAATACCCTATACTCTAGACCAGGTGAATCTGAATTATTGAGGCTGGAACCTGGGCAATAGTGTATATTTTAAATGTTTCCCAGCCGATTCTGATATGTATCCAGGCTTGGTAAATACTGATGTAGGCCTTGAGAGTTGATGCAGGCCTTGAGAGTCAGTGTAAAGATTTGTCTTTGAGTGACAAGGAAACTGTTGGAGGATTAAAAAAATATTATTATTTATTGTTTTATTGCTATTTTAATTGTTTTTTAATGAATTTTAAAATTGATACATGTTATATGCACATGTTTTCAGAGTACATGTGATAATTTGATACGTTCATGTAATCAAATCAGAATAATAGGGATATCCATCCCCTTAAATATTTATCTTTTCTTTATGCTATGAACATTCCAGTTATTCTCTTCTAGCTATTTCAAAATGTACAATTGATTGTTTACTGTAGTCACTCTATTGATCTATTGAACATCAGGTCTTATTTCCTCTATCTAAGTGTATGTTTGTATCAATTAGTACTCTCTTCACCACCATCCCCCAGCCTATCCCAGCCTCTGGTAACCATCAATCTACTCTCCATCTTCATGAGATCCACTTTTCAGGCTCTCACTTATTAGTGAGAACATGTGACATTTGTCTTTTTGTGCTTGGCTCATTTCACTTAATGTAATGGTTCTATCTATGTTGCTGAATATGACAGGATTTCGTTCTCTTATGGCTGAGTAATATTCCATTGTGTATATATACCACATTTTCTTTATCTGTTTATCCATTGATGGACATGTAGGTGGATTCTATATTTTGTCTGTTGTGAATAGTGCTGCAATAAACATGAGAATGGGAGTGTAGATATCTCTTTGATATGTCGATTTCATTTTTTTTTTTTTTGATATGTACTCAGTCAAGTTGCTGGCTCATATGGTAGTTCTGTTCTTAGTTTTTTTGAGGAACTTCCATACAGTTCTCTGTTGTGACTGTACTTATTTACCTTCCCACCAACAATGTATGAGGGTTTCCCTTTCCCCATATCCTTGCCAGCACCCTGCTATTCCCTGTCTTTTTGATAAAAGTCATTCTGATTGGGGTGAGATGTGGTTTTGATTTGCATTTCTTTGATGATTAGTGATGTGAGCCTTTCCCTCTCTCCCTCCCTTCCTTTTTTTTTTTTGAGCCGGAGTTTTGCTCTTGTTTCCCAGGCTGGAATGCAATGACATAATATCGGCTCCCTGCAACCTCCAATTCGTGAGTTCAAGCGATTCCTCTTCCTCAGCCTCCTGAGTAGCTGGGATTACAGACACCCACCCCCACCACGCCTGGTGAATTATTTATTATTTTTAGTAGAGACAGGGTTTCACCATGTTGGTGACTTGTCTTGAACTCCTGACCTCAGGTGATCCACTTGCCTCAGCCTCCCAGAGTGCTAGGATTACAGGTGTGAGCCAGTGCCCACCAGAACCTTTTTCATATTCCCGTCGTCCATTCATACTTTTTTCTTTTGAAAAAAGTATCTCTTCAGATCTTTCGCCCATTTTTAAATGAGATTTTTTTCTTTGCTATTGAGTTGTTTGAGCTCCTTATGTATTCTGGTTATTAGTCCCTTGTCAAATATATGGTTTGCAAATATTTCTTCCATTCTGTGGGTTGTCTCTTCACCTTGTTGATTATTTCTTTTGCTGTGCTAAAGCTTTTTAGCTTAATGTAATTCTGTTTGTCTATTTTTGCTTTTGTTGCCTATGTTTTTGAGGTCCTATACAGAAAGTCTTTGTCCATCCAGTGTTCTGGAGCATTTATTTCTCCAATGTTTTCTTCTAGTAGTTTCATAGTTCCAAGTCTTATAATTTGATTTTGTATATGTTAAGTTTGAGATAGCTCTAAGACATCCAAGTAGAAATATTCAGTAGGGTGATTGGATTGAATTTATGAATCTGAGGTTCCCGAGAGAGGCCTAAGCTGCTAGTGTAATTCTGGGATTCATCATAGAACTGTATGATTTCACACAGAAAATAAGTGTCAGTAGAGAAGAAAGAACTCCAAGGACTGAGCACAGAAACTCTCCAACATTGGGAGGCTGAGGAAAAGAGTAGACAGCAAAAGAGATTAAGAATAGCATTCAGTAAAGAAGCAGAAGAGCCAGAAGGTAGAGGTGTTCCAGGTTCTTTCATAATGAAGAAAGTTTTCACTGAGAGAGGTAGAGGAAGTTCCTTAAAGAAAGATTGTTTGGCAAATAATAGCATCATATCACAGAGCCTTGAATGTCATTTTGAGGATTTGGGCTTTTTACTGTTAGCCCTATCAAATATTTATGAATAGCAGAGGGGCATGATCAAGGTTATCTTTTAGGAGCTTACTGGTAAGGGTAAGCAGTATCTAGGTCTGATTAAACAAAAAGGGACCTAATTGAGAAAGTATTACAGAATTTCAGGGGATAAATGATATAGTCTAACTTATTGGTTTGATTCTGTCAAACTTAATACTGCCTTTTTATAAGGAATATTTTATGATGCCCTTTTTACAGTCTTGAAATAAACTTATAGCTATTAATAATATAATGATACAATTCAAAAATTATGACACACTAAATATAGTATAAACCAGAAATAAAATGAAAATAATTTATAACAAAATACTATATATTTTATCTGTATATGCTTGAAGACATAATGAAATATTGACAGCATAGTGAAATAGTTGGATACTTGTTAACAGACACCTTGTGTGCTAAAGTACAAACCTATACCAGCATGCTGTATTTGCAATTTAAATGCCATAAGCAGCATTACAAGTGGTATTTAATTTTCTGAGTTACTGAGGAACTTTTTATAGAGTCTGAACAAACTACAAAATACAGTTTCCCTTTAATTTATATGACTATTACATTTCTGAAAGTTCAGTGCATATGAAAGCTCTGCAAAACATGTATTTCATGAATACTAGCATTAAGTTATAGGTTCAGGTAACTAATTCAAGACATTTTCTTTTTGCTTACATGAAGGCCCACTGGGACATCAGATAGTTGAGAGTGATGTAGGATATTTCTTCCTTTTATAGGACTATCCCACATATTTCAGGTTGTCTAGCATCCCTGGCTCTACCTACTGCCAATAGTGCCTGGCAACCATGCTAATTATTGTGATTAAAAAAATCTTCCACACGTTTCTCAACACATGCCTTCCTCCAACACACAGACTGTATAGAGATCCCTAGTTTAAAGTGTGATAGCATGTTTCATCTCTGTTTCTCCTCTTTAAAAATAACCTATGGTAGATTATGGAATCATGTTTTAACATTTTATGAATCATTGGGAAAGGATACTGTTTGGTTTGGTGTTTCTACAATTTTATAGATGTACATTCAAGTAGTTGGTGATATTGATGGTAATAATATGTTTATTTTAGTGTTAATTTCTTACTTTTTTGAGCTCTGAAGCATGTAAAAAAAAAAGACTATAAAAATGGTAGCTCCACCCTCCACTTCATAAATCAGAATCACTTATCTACTTTGTTTTTTCCTCCTGTATTTTTTTTAAGTGAATCATCTTTCTTAGATTTCTATGACTAATTCAATATTGGGTAAGGAAAGCTTGGCAGTGAACCTCCCATTTGTGAGCATTGTGAAAATTTCTCCACCACTTGCATTGATTAAAACTTTTTGCTGTTGTCTTGATCTTGAGATACTGGTGATCGCCTCTCCGCCTTTTGGCTAAGATCAAGTGTGGAGATACTGGTGAACAAGATTCCCAGGATTTATGACTATTTTTTCATATTTGAGTAATGAGTTTCTTTTTTGTTTCTTTCTTTAAACTAGTAGAATTTATTTTAATAAATAATAAT